GAGTTTCCTTCAAACAGGGCAGAGACCTGCTGCCCTCCTGCTCTTCCTTCAAGTTCTTCCCAGACCTAAGGCCACGCCAGCATCCTTGCAAGCAGACGTGTGGCACCCCATACAGCAGTGGTGAGGTTCTGGTCCACCTATTGGAAGGCACGGCCTGTGAGATGCTTCCAGGATGGGTTCCCTCCACGGTCATACTCGGGTGTCCCACCCATGGCCGGGTGAGAACAGGATGTTACACACAGCAGCAAAGTTCAGGGAAGGTGCGGGAATCTTAGCGTGGGGTCAAAATAATCCCAACCAGAGGCCTTGTTAAATCCAAAGTCCAAAACTACTAATTAGCACATGAAACTTAATTACAGCTAAATATAAACAGAAACAAGAGAGAAGGAGGGAGGGTATTAAAATTTATTAACTAATTTAATCCTTCTGTTGCCCTGGTGGCACAGTGGTGAAGCTCTAGGCTGCTACCTGAAAGACGAATGGTTGAACCCTCCAGCCACTGTGTAGAAGAAAATGTAGCAGTCTGCTTCCATAAAGATTTACCATCTAGGAAACCCCACGGGGCAGTTGTACTCTGTCCTATAGGGTCACTATGAGTCGGAATCGACTCAGTGGCCCCCAACAGCAACAACAGCACCAATTCTGAGTGGTAGACAGCATCCACACCACTTTACAGAGGGGCCTGAGACTCAGAGCACGGCTAGGATTGGATCCAGAGCTATATCCGTGTGTCTCCAGATCGTCGTGACTCCTGGCTCCCCTCTGCCCTACCCCAGCCCCACATCACATGGTCTCCCTCCTGCACTAAAGCGATGTTTGCTCAGTGGATGAACTGATGACGGCACGCAACCCTGAGAAGCACTTTAGAACCGAGGTCAGACCCAAGTCTTACCCACAAGGAAAAGATGTAAGCACAACACGTGAACCAAACAATAACAAGGGTGCAACAGTACCCACTAGCCTGCCCACAAAAAGAAGGTAACAGAAGCACATGTAAAAATAGAGAGGCTATATCCGGGAACAGCACTCTCAAGTCTGACAGCTCCTTCTCCTCCTGCACAGCCTACGCTCTCGCTCTCGTGCTGACCTAACCACCTTCCTCCTCTCTTCCCAGCACTTCTCAGCTTCTGACACCTGCTGCCTGCCCGCTCCCTCACCCTGCAAGCCACCGACCTCTCAACCTAAGGGCTCAACACGGCTTTAAAGGCACCTCTGTTTCTTTTTTAATTGAGGTATAAGATTTGCCATTTTCACCATTTTTAAGGGTACAATTCATTGGCATTACTTATATTCACCATGTTGTACAACCATCATCACTATCTACTTTCAAAACTTCTCTATCACCCCAAACAGAAACTCTGTGCCCGTTAAGCAATAACTCCCCATTGCCTTCTTCCCTGGCCCCCGATAACTTTGAATCTACTTATTGTCTCTATGAATTTGTCTATTCCAGACATTTCATACGAGTAGGATCATACAATAATTGTCTTTTTGTGTCTGGCTTATTTCGCTCAGCATAATGTCTTCAAAGGCTCACCCGGCTCACCCACGTCATACCATGTATGAGGACTTCATTTCTCTTTACGGCAGAATAATATTCTACTGTATGTATGGCCCACATTTTGTTAATCTATTCTTCTGCTGATGGACACTTAGAGTGTTTCCATGTGTCTCTGCTTTTGTGTGTATCTGACAGCCTGTGTGATGAGGAGATAAGGCTGGATAAGTCACGCTAGAGAATGGCTTCGATGTGCCAGCTGAGGGGACCGGGCCCTGATGTGGTCCTGACACCCCTTTAGAAAGCAGATCAGTGGCTCACCTTCCATCCTGACAGCACACAGACTCATCCGTAGCGTCTTCCCCAACATGTTCATGCCCAGCTGTCACACCCACCCACCCACCACAGATTCCAATTTGGTAGATCCAGGTTGGGAACCAATCACTTCAAAAAATAAAATTAAAAAAAAAATTAAGCTTTATAAGTGACTACAATAAACCAAAAACCAAACCCGCTGCCGTTGAGTCCGTTCCGACTCATAACGACCCTACAGGACAGAGCAGAACTGCCCGGTAGGGTTTCCGAGGCTGTCATCTTCAAGATGTCACCTGGAGGACTACAGTGCACCTGACCCAAGCCATAGTGTTTTCAATCACCTCATACGCATGTGAAAGCTGGACAATGAATAAGGAAGACCGAAGAAGAACTGATTCTTTGAATTGTGGTGTTGGCAAAGAATACTGAATATACCATGGACTGCCAAAAGAACCAACAAATCTGTCTTGGAAGATATACAACCAGAATGCTCCTTAGAAGTAAGAATGGCAAGACTACATCTCACATACTTTGGACATGTTATCAGGAGGGATCAGTCCCTGGAGAAGGACATCACGCTTGGTAAAGTAGAGGGTCAGTGAAAAAGAGGAAGACGCTTAATGAGATGGACTGACACAGTGGCTGCAACAATGGGCTCAGGCATAACAAGTATTGTGAGGACGGCGCAGGACCGGGCACTGTTTCATTCTGTTGTACATGGGGTCGCTATGAGTCAGAACTCACCTGACAGCACCTAGTAACAACAACAATGATCTTTACAGAAGCAGACTGGCACATCTTTCTCCCGTGGAGGAGCTGGTGGGTTAGAACTGCTGACCTTTCGATTAGCAGCCGACTGCTTAACCACTGTGCCACCAGGGCTCCTTCAGTGACTATAATATTCCCCCAAAAATAAGAATCACTGAGGTAGATCTCATAACACGTTCCATTGGGAAACCAAGCACAAACAGGTGAAACAATATGTCCAAAGCTCACTCAGTGAGTAAATGGAGTAGTGGGTATTCAGACCCAGTGCTGCTTCTTCCAGTTGCCATAGAGTCAATTCCAACTCATGGGGATCCCGTGTGTGTCACAGTGGAACTGTGCCCCATGGGGTTTTCAATGGCTGGTTTTTCAGAAGTAGCTTGCCAGGCCTTTCTTTCAAGGCACCTCTGGGTGTGCTGGAACCTTTAACCTTTCGGTTAGCAGCCAAGTGTTTAACCATTTGCACCACAAACCCAGGGCATCTGACACGAAGTCCATTCCCTTCCTTGCTGTTTTTCCTGTCCCGGGTAATAGGGATCAAGTTATAACCCGTTAGTGGAGAGCAACACTATTTACTGATACAAGGTTTAGCGAGGATGAACGTATCCATTCACGTATTTGTCAAGAGAGGTAATATGTGGCTGTCCCAAGAAGAGCAGCGGAAGAGGATCAAAGGGAGCAGTTGGAGATGAGGCAGAACCTCATGGCAAATCACAGTCCACCAGTCGACATCGGTTCTGGTAGAAACAGTTCAAAAGTATATATGCAAATGAGCTTGGCTTTCATTTTTCCTTTTTTTTCCCCCATTTCATATTACTTGATATCTCAAGACCAGTGTTCATGCAATTAAACTAAGACTCTAATGTTAATTTATTATTTGAGTCCAAACAGCTGAGTTTCTCATAGATTTAGTAAATTTAATCAAATTTCATGCAATTAGACTTTAATTAAAATACATATGCATAAAGTTGAACTCCTGATCTCTAAATCAATTGAATTCACAACAAAATTAAAAGACACGCAAACAAGTAAGTACACTCTGAGTTGGCAACAGAATTAAAAATAACTTGACGCTATGCTTGTCTTCTACCTCGATGGCAGCCGAGGCCCAAAGGTCATGAGTTCTTACACCAACACCATACGGTGAGTGGTAACACTGATGTCAAGCCGTGTCTCCTGACTTCGAACCTGGGGCCTGCTCAGCTGGGCCTTTCTCTGACATTTGACTGTTCTCAACTCCATTCAAACAAACCCTCGCTTCCCCGCTGCTCTCATGAAATCTCCCCAAACAAAATCTATAAACGTAGCGTCCATCCGTCGATGGAGATGAAAAAGGTCTTTGTTCGGGGACTCTGCGCTGCCAGGCAGTCTGATAAAAGGCTTTGGAGGCTATCTGCTTCCGTAAGCTTTGGGGGAAACTCAGTTTCTTCCTTCTTAGTTATTAAGAGAAACATATTCATTTGCAATTTCAAGGCCTGCCTTTCACATAATGAATAAGCATAAGGAAAAAGAGAAGCACATATTATGTAAATTAGGGTGCCCATTTCCCCAAGCAAAAAGGAATGCCTCTTTTCTTTCGCCATTATTCCAAGTTTTCCACTACTCTCTTGTTAGGTCAATAGTTTTAAACGACACAAAATCTGTAAGGTCACTGAGTCAGCACAAAAGGTTTAGCTGCTCCACAACTTACTATTGAGTACCCATGTTCTTTCCACGGAACATAAAGAGAGTTATAACGTTTAAACAGGTGCGTCTAAATAAGGACAGAAAGCAAATTTTACAATGCAAAGAGCACTTCAATTTACCTGACTCCTAATTGTTTACATAGTTTCTAGAACTTTATCCTCCAAAACGTGGTCAGAATCATTTTCCGGCCTATACCCACCACCAGCATCAGTTCTTCTGACCAGCCCCCCTTCCCCCACTGGGAGTGTCCCCACCACAGAGCCCCTCCCCGCACACACAGCCGACCCCTGGTGGACAGGCCCTCCCGCACACTCACTCTCTCTCCTCCACCCTCACCACACAAACAGAAGGCTCCCGCAGGCGTGTGTCGTCATAAACACAGGGACCTGCTCAATACTACTATGTGAATTAGGATCACTTCAAACGATTACTCAAAATATTCCAATTAATTCATCAATTCGTTCAAGTATTTGAATTAGTATTAACAGAATTAATGCTACTGCTAAGTAATATCGGGACATGAGCTGCACCCCTGACCCCTAAAATCATCAAAATGGACACCCTGAAAGCCCTGTTAACTCGATAAACTCTGTCTGAACCTTGAAAACATCTGACACCTCACCGGGCAGAGGTTCTTTTAAAACTCTTCTTGGAAATTCAGGCAGTGAGGGCCCCTCTGCCTGCAGACCCAGAGCACCTCCCCGCCCCAGTGAGGAGATGGTGCCCAGGCACTCACTGCAAACCGGACTTGGCAGTTCTCCTCGCCCAGGTAGCACAGGTCTCCCGAGACGTTGGTCTCCAGCCACAGGTGCTCTCCGTTCACGGCGTTCTCCTGGAAGGCAAAGACCCACGTACTTCAGCTTTGTCTTCAGGGGCCAAGGGGAGAGGTTCCAAAGTCAGATTCTGGAGTCAAGAAACTTGGTGAACCCAAAGCGTTCCCACAAGTATCATTAAAATGCTGCTGGAGCTGGTGCTGGAGCCCTGACGGGGCAGTGGTTAAGAACTTGGCTGCTGACCAAAAGGTTGGCAGTTCAAATCTACCATTTGCTCCTTAGAAACCCTACGGGGCAGTTCTCCTTTGTCCTAGGAACGGGTTTTTTTTTTAGAGTTGGTCCTACCAAAATTCTTCTGCTGTGTACCGTCGAGTCGGTTCTGACTCATGGTGACCCCTCGTGTTACAGAGTAGAACTGCCCCATAGGGTTTCCTAAGGCTGTAATTTTTATGGGAGCAGATCACCAGGTCTTTTCACCCAAGAAGCTGCTGGTGGATTTGAACCACGGACCTTTCTGTTAGCAACCAAGCGCTTAACCACTGAGCCACCAGGGATCCTTCACCAAAATTCTGGAAACCAAAGAAGGTGTCTGGAAAACGGTGATCTGTAACTAACACAGACATTAGGCTTATAGAAGTTTCATCCATGCAGGCAGTAATTTTGGAAACAATTACCAAATAAATGAAGGGGGCGGGGGGAAACTCGAACTGGTTCAATGTAAAGTTTTATTCATCGGGGCCCTAGAGTGTAGATTCCAAGACAATTGAAGGAGAACTTCTGTTAAAATTTACCTTAACAGATTATCCAAGAAAGGGATGGTAGCATTACAGTGCTTTAAGTAACGACTGCTGGAAAACACATTTATGTCAGTAATGGGTACATTATGCTTCATGCACAAAGGATCTTAAAACTTAGTTTAAGTCACTGTGTACTCAAAAAGTAACATATTTCTACTAAGTCAGGCATTTTACTAATTCAGTAGGGCCTTTGTCCAATTAATTCCAAATCGTTCAAATTGGATTTTACTGCTTCTAAAAATATCCCACACTTGTGCGGCAAACAGAACTGCTATGATATACGATACAAGGAGCAACAACCCTACTGTCCAGAAATGTTCAGTATTTCACCGGAGGGTGGGGAGGGATAGCACTTTTTTTGAATAGTAGGATGACGAGGATTCTATGTTCTTTCTTATGGAACATAATACCTTAGAAACATGATAAACCCATTGCCATCGAGTCGACTCCGACTCATAGCGACCCTATCGGACAGCGTAGAACTGCCCCATAGCGTTCCCAAGGAGAGGCTGGTGGATTCAAACTGCTAACCTTTTGGTCAGCAGCTGTAGCTCTTAACCACTGCGCCATCAAGGAAGTTTATGTATTAATTGTACATTTTGTTCATTTGCTTAAGGAGGACTCTGATCTAGCAGGGAAAGAACTATATCTAGTTAATCACAAAGAAACAAAACTAAATCTACAGGTGTTACAGGAAAATGGCTCTTGTTTTTATCTTGTTCATCAGAAGTGCATGGACATGTAATTATATTTCCGTGGGGTAAGACTTCAGTAAGGAGTTTTATAGAATAAGCAAGTTAGAAGTCATCTTCTACACGAGCCACCTTTAATATAACCCACGCCAGAAGTGTCCACGCAATGCTGTTGTTGCTAGTTACTGGTGCGTCCATTCCAACTCATGATGACCCCAAGGGTGCAGAGTAGAACTGCTCCATAAGGTTTTCAAGGCTGTGACCTTTCGGAAGCAGATCGCTAGGCCTTTCTTCCAAGGTGCCTCTGGGTGGGTTTGAACCGCTAATCTCTCCGTTAGTAGTCAAGCGCTTAACCGTTTCCCCGCCCAGGGACGCATGTCCATACAATAGCCTTCTGGATTAAAAGCTCAGTATAGAGAAGCAAACATATGCTCCAAACGATGTTTGATGGAAAAAATTCCAAGGGCCATCCACCTTTTAAAATAAATCTGTTTCTTCAGATTCAAGTAGAACATATTTTCCTTTCTTGAATATTTTCATGCAAGAAAAACAGGATGTTGTATTGTCGCATGCCAGCTGGCTGCTTCAGGAGCCATTCCTACCTCGTTAAGCATATTAACTAATTCTAGACCCGCCTGTGGCTGAAGAGCTACTAGACTTGCTACTTCTCTCTTTTTGTACCAACGCCAGAGAACGAGAAGATGAGAGAGGAAAAGAGACCTTGGGTGTGGTAGTTCAAAAGAATTCTAAGGGAAGAGACATGGAAACACAGATACATAGAGAGCAGCCTCAGAGTTAACGAGATAGATCTGGGGATAATCGAAAAAGAAACAAACTCACACAAAGCTTTGCGGCATCAGTTGGGTAAAATAAAAACATTCACACATTTTACTAGCAATCTCACTTCTGGGAATGGAGCCTAAGGCAATAATACTAATGGAAGAAAAACTACTCACATTAAGAGATTTGTTTCTACAGTCTAATAATCAAAAATTGTAAGCCTCGCAAATGTCCAGTGGAGAGGCATGTTTGCAAAAAGGATGGTAAATACACGAAATGAAACATTAAAAAGTCATCAAGAGTTATAAATATCGAGATTAGCCATATGGGAAGCTGAGTGATGTCAAGACAAGTGAGTAAAAATAAAATTCAAAACTGACCTATATTATGATCACCACTCTGCATAAAATAAGGGCTGAGAAAAATAACAATGTGTCAGTGGTCTGATTTTCCCTTGTTGCTCTCTTTGTCTGGAAAAATGCAACAGTTTTCTTTATCTGCTGCTTTTATTTTCTCTCTGCTCCATTATTTCTTGAACCCAATTCCATCAGGCTTTCTTCCTCTGCAGTTCACTACAATGAGTCTTGTCAAGGTTTTTGACACAGTTGATCATTCCCTTCTTCTGGGGACACCTCTGTCCCTGGCCCCAGAAACACTGTACTCTGTTTTTCTTGTATCTCGATGGCCACGCCTGCTCACTCTCCTTTGCTGGATCTCTCCTATATTCCCAAACTGCAACTACTGCAGTGTGCCACAGCTCAATACTCAAGTTTCTACCCTTACTCATGTATATTCAGTCCTTAAGTTATTGCATTTCATTCACATGGTTTTAAATCCTATCTACTCATTTTAGGAGTCTACGAGGAAAATACTAAATGACACAGGAAGCATCAAAAGACAGACGGAATACACAGACACTGTACCAAAAAGAATTGGTTGACATTCAACCATTTCCGGAGGTAGCATATGATCAAGAACCAATGGTACTGAAGGAAGAGGTCCAAGATGCACTGAAAGCATTGGCAAAAAACAAGGCTCTAGGAATTGATGGAATACCAATGAAGATATTGCAACAAACGGATGCAGTGCTGGAAATGCTCACTCTTCTATGCCAAGAAATTTGGAAGACAGCTACCTGGCCAACTGAGTGGAAGAGATCCATATTTGTACCCATTCCAAAGAAAGGTGATCCAACAGAATGGTGAAATTATCAAACGATATCATTAATATCACACACAAGTAAAATTTTGCTGCAGATCATTCAAAGGCGGTTGCAGCGGTACATCAACAGAGAACCGCCAGAAATTCAAGCTGGATTCAGAAGAGGACGTGGAACAAGGGATATCATTGCTGATGTCAGATGGTTCATGGATGAAAGCAGAGAATACCAGAAGGATGTTTACTTGTGTTTTATTGACTATGCAAACGCATTTGACTGTGCGGATCATAACAAATTACGGACAACATCGCAAAGAATGGGAATTCCAGAACACTTAATTGTGCTCATGAGGAACCTGCACTTAGACCAAGATGGAGTCGTTGGAACAGAACAAGGGGATACTGCGTGGTTTAAAGTCAGGAAAGGTGTGTGTCAGGGTTGTATCCTTTCACCATACTTATTCAATCTGTATGCTCAGCAAATCATCCGAGAAGCTGGACTATATGAAGAAGAATGTGGCATCAGGATTCGTGGAAGACTCATTAACAATCTGCAATATGCAGATGACACAACCTTGCTTGCTGAAAGTAAAGAGGACCTGAAGCACTTACTGGTAAAGATCAAAGACCACAGCCTTCAGTATGGATTACACCTCAATATAAAGAAAACAAAAATCCTCACAACTGGGCCAGTGAGCAACATCATGATAAATGGAGAAAATATTGAAGTTGTCAAGGATTTCATTTTACTTGAATCCACCAACAACGGCCATGGAAGCAGCAGTCAAGAACTAAAATGATGCACTGCATTGGGCAAATCTGCTGCAAAAGCCCTCTTGAAAGTGTTGAAGGGCAAAGATGTCACCTTGAAGACTAAGGTGCGCCTGACCCAAGCCATGGTGTTTTCAATCTCCTCATATGCATGCGAAAGCTGGACAATGAAGAAGGAAGACTGAAAAACTGACACCCTTGAATTGTGGTGTTGGCAAAGAATATTGTATATACCACGGACTGCCAGAAGAATGAACAAACCTGTCTTGGAAGAAGTACAGCCAGAATGCTTCTTAGAAGCAAGGATGGTTAGACTTTGTCTCACATACTTTGGACGTGTTATCAGGAGGGACCAGTCCCCGGAGAAGGACATCAGGCTTGGGGGAGTAGAGAGGCAGTGAAAACGAAGAAGACCCTCAACGAGATGGATTGACACAGTGGCTACCACAATGGGCTCAAGCATAACAATGACTGTAAAGATGGCACAGGACCAGGCAGTGTTTCATTCTGTTGTACACAGGGTCGCTATGAGTCGGAACTGACTCGATGGCACCTAGCAACACAACAACATTCATTGTAGGCAGCCCTGGTGGCACAACGGTTAAGTGCTCTTCTGCTAACCCAAAGGTTGGAGGTTCAAACCCACCTAGTAGCTCCATGGGAGAAAGACCTGGAGATCTTCTTCATAAAGATGGCAGCCTAGAAAACCCTATGGGACAGTTCTGCTCTGTCACATGGGGTCTCTGTGAGTTGAAACTGATTCCACGGCACCCAACAACAACAACATTCATTGTAGACTCCCAAATCATTCATACGGTCCGAACCTCTTCCCTGAACTTCAGACTCAAAAAACTGCCCTCT